TCGACTAGGGTTCTTTGTTATACTCGATCTGGGGACTTTGTTATACTCAATCAGCGGACTTTGTTATACTCGATCAGGGGCCTTTGTTATACCCGATCAGGGGACTTTCTATACTCGATCAGGGGACATTGTTATACTCTATGAGGGGGGCTTTGTTATACTCGTTCAGGGGACTTTGTTTTACTTGATTAGGGGACTTTGTTATACTCGATGAGGGGGCTTTGTTATAAACGATCAGGGGGCTTTGTTATACTTGATCAGGGGCCTTTGTTATAATCGTTCAAGGGACTTTGTTATACTCGATCAGGGGACATTGTTATACTCGATCAGAGGATATTGTTATACTCGACCAGGGGAGTTTGATATACTCGACCAGGGTCTTTGTTATACTCGATGAGGGGCCTTTGTTAAACTCGATGAGGGGCCTTTGTTATACTCGACCAGGGGACTTTGTTATACTCGATTAGGGGCCTTTGTTAAACTCGATCAGGGGCCATTGTTATTCTCGATCAGAGGACTTTGTTCTACTCTATCAGGGGACTTTGTTATACTCGATCAGGGGGCTTTGTTATACTCGATTAGGGAACTTTGTTATACTCGATCAGGGGACTTTGTTATAATCGACCAGGGGAGTTTGTTATACTCGACCAGGGGACTTTGCTATACTCGATCAGGAGACTTTGTTATACTCGATGACGGGCCTTGGTTAAACTCTATGAGGGACCTTTTTTATACTCGACCAGGGGACTTTGTTATAATCGTTCAGGGGACTTTGTTATACTCGATCAGGGGACTTTGTCATACTCGATCAGGGGACTTTGTTATACTCGATCAGGGGACTTTGTTATACTCGATCACCGGATTTTGTTATACTCCATCAGGAGACTTTGTTATACTCGATGAGGGGCCTTTGTTAAACTTGATCAGGGGCCTTTGTTATACACGATCAGGGACTTTGTTATACTCGATCAGGGGACTTTGTTATACTCGATCAGCGGACTTTGTTATACTCGATCAGGAGACTTTGTTATACTCGATGACGGGCCATTGTTAAACTCTATGAGGGACCTTTGTTATACTCGACCAGGGGACTTTGTTATAATCGTTCAGGGGACTTTGTTATACTCGATCAGGGGACTTTGTTATACCCGATCAGGGGACTTTGTTATAATCGACCAGGGGAGTTTGTTATACTCGATCAGGGGACTTTGTTATACTCGATCAGCGGACTTTGTTATACTCGATCAGGAGACTTTGTTATACTCGATGAGGGGCCTTTGTTATACTCGATCAGGGGCCTTTGTTATACTCGATGAGGGGACTTTTTTATACTCAACCAGGGTTCTTTGTTATACTTGATCAGCGGACTTTGTTATACTCGATTAGGAGACTTTGTTATACTCGATCAGGGGCCTTTGTTATACTCGATCAGGGGCCTTTGTTATACTCGATCAGGGGACTTTGTTATACTCAACCAGGGTTCTTTGTTATACTTGACCAGGGGAGTTTGTTATACTCGACCAGGGGACTTTGTTATACTCGATGACAGGCCTTTGTTAAACTCTATGAGAGACCTTTGTTATACTCGACCAGGGGACTTTGTTACACTCGATCAGGGGCCTTTGTTAAACTCGATCAGGGGCCATAGTTATACTCGATCAGGGGACTTTGTTATACTCTATCATGGGACTTTGTTATACTCGATCAGGGGAGTTTGTTATACTCGACCAGGTGAGTTTGTTATACTCGACCAAAGGACTTTGTTATACTCAATGAGGGGCCTTTGTTAAACTCGATGAGGGGCCTTTGTTATACTCGACCAGGGGACTTTGTTATACTCGATCAGGGGCCTTTGTTAAACTCGATTTGGGGCCTTTGTTATACTCGATCAGGAGACTTTGTTATACTCGATCAGGGGACTTTGTTATACTCGATCAGCGGACTTTGTTATACTCGATGAGGGGCCTTTGTTATACTCGATCAGGGGCCTTTGTTATGCTCCATCAGGGGACTTTGTTATACTCGACCAGGGTTCTTTGTTATACCCGATCAGGGGAATTTGCTATACTCGATCAGGGGACATTGTTATACACTATGAGGGGGGCTTTGTTATACTCGATCAGGGAACTTTGTTATACTCGGTGAGGGGACTTTGTTACACTCGATCAGGGGACTTTGTTATACTCGTTCAGGGGACTTTGTTATACTCGTTCAGGGGACTTTGTTATACTTGATCAGGGGACTTTGTTATACTCGATGAGGGGGCTTTGTTATACACGATCAGGGGCTTTGTTATACTTGATCAGTTATAATCGTTCAAGGGACTTTGTTATACTCGATCAGGGGACTTTGTTATACTCGATCAGGGGACTTTGTTATACGCGACCAGGGGAGTTTGATATACTCGACCAGGGGACTTTGTTATACTCGATGAGGGGCGTTTGTTAAACTCGATGAGGGGCCTTTGTTATACTCGACCAGGGGACTTTGTTATACTCGATCAGGGGCCTTTGTTAAACTCGATCAGGAGCCTTTGTTATACTCGATCAGGGGACTTTGTTATACTCTATCAGGAGACTTTGTTATACTCGATCAAAGGGCTTTGTTATACTTGATCAGGGAACTTTGATATACTCGATCAGGGGCCTTTGTTATAATCGTTCAGGGGACTTTGTTATACTCGATCAGGGGACTTTGTTATACTCGATAAGGGGACTTTGTTATAATCGACCAGTGGAGTTTGTTATACTCGACCAGGGGACTTTGCTATACTCGATCAGGGGCCTATGTTAAACTTGATCAGGGGCGTTTCTTATACTCGATTAGGGGACTTTGTTATACTCGATCAGGGGACTTTGTTATACTTGATCAGCGGACTTTGTTATACTCGATCAGGAGACTTTGTTATACTCGATGAGGGGCCTTTGTTATACTCGATCAGGGGCCTTTGTTATACTCGATCAGGGGACTTTGTTATACTCAACCAGGGTTCTTTGTTATACTTGACTAGGGGACTTTGTTATACTCGACCAGGGGTCTTTGTTATACTCGATGAGGGGCCTTTGTTAAACTCGATGAGGGACCTTTGTTATACTCGACCAGAGGACTTTGTTACACTCGATCAGGGGCCTTTGTTAAACTCGATCAGGGGCCATAGTTATACTCGATCAGGGGACTTTGTTATACTCGATCAGCGGATTTTGTTATACTCGATCAGGAGACTTTGTTATACTCGATGAGGGGCCTTTGTTATACTCGATCAGGGGCCTTTGTTATACTCGATCAGGGGACTTTGTTATACTCAACCAGGGTTCTTTGTTATACTTGACCAGGGGAGTTTGTTATACTCGACCAGGTGACTTTGTTATACTCGATGAGGGGCCTTTGTTAAACTCGATGAGGGACCTTTGTTATACTCGACCAGGGGACTTTCTTACACTAGATCAGGGGCCTTTGTTAAACTCGATCAGGGGCCATAGTTATACTCGATCAGGGGACTTTGTTATACTCGATCAGGGGACTTTGGTATACTCGACCAGGTGAGTTTGTTATACTCGACCAGGGGACTTTGTTATACTCAATGAGGGGCCTTTGTTAAACTCGATGAGGGGCCTTTGTTATACTCGTCCAGGGGACTTTGTTATACTCGATCAGGGGCCTTTGTTAACTCGATAGAGGCCTTTGTTATACTCGATCAGGGGACTTTGTTATACTCAATCAGGGGACTTTGTTATACTCGTTCAGCGGACTTTGTTATACTCGATCACGGGCCTTTGTTATACTCCATGAGGGGACTTTGTTATACTCGACCAGGGTTCTTTGTTATACTCGATCAGGGGACTTTGTTATACTCGATCAGGGGCCTTTGTTATACCCGATCAGGGGACTTTCTATACTCGATCAGGGGACATTGTTATACTCTATGAGGGGGGCTTTGTTATACTCGTTCAGGGGACTTTGTTATACTTGATCAGGGGACTTTGTTATACTCGATGAGGGGGCTTTGTTATACACGATCAGGGGGCTTTGTTATACTTGATCAGGGGCCTTTGTTATAATCGTTCAAGGGACGTTGTTATACTCGATCAGGGGACTTTGTTATACTCGATCAGGGGATATTGTTATACTCGACCAGGGGAATTTGATATACTCGACCAGGGGACTTTGTTATACTCGATGAGGGGCCTTTGTTAAACTCGATCAGGGGCCATTGTTATACTCGATTAGGGGCCTTTGTTAAACTCGATCAGGGGCCATTGTTATACTCGATCAGGGGACTTTGTTATACTCTATCAGGGGACTTTGTTATACTCGATCAGGGGGCTTTGTTATACTCGATTAGGGAACTTTGTTATACTCGATCAGGGGACTTTGTTATAATCGACCAAGGGAGTTTGTTATACTCGACCAGGGGACTTTGCTATACTCGATCAGGGGCCTTTCTTAAACTTGATGAGGGGCCTTTGTTATACTCGATCAGGGGACTTTGTTATACTCGATCAGGGGACTTTGTTATACTCGATCAGCGGACTTTGTTATACTCGATCAGGAGACTTTGTTATACTCGATGACGGGCCTTTGTTAAACTCTATGAGGGACCTTTGTTATACTCGACCAGGGGACTTTGTTATAATCGTTCAGGGGACTTTGTTATACTCGATCAGGGACTTTGTTATACTCGATATATATATATATATATATATATATATATATATATATATATATATATATATATATATATATATATATATATATCTTGATAAAATCTTATCCACGTTTTCATTGTGGATTTACATGAAATATATATATATATATATATATATATATATATATATATATATATATATATATATATATATATATATATATATATATATATATATATATATATATATTCGGAAGCATATCACGCATCTTTGTCTGGAATAAATTAGAGAGAGAGAGAGAGAGAGAGAGAGAGAGAGAGAGAGAGAGAGAGAGAGAGAGAGAGAGAGAGAGAGAGAGAGAGAATATCAGTGTCATCGCTACTAAGGAGAATTACTTTACCTGTGCAAGCGCCACGTCAATGGTCCACATATTTATGATGCTGTCCAGCACTGCAGTGGTGATACGAGTGCCATTAGGGCTCACAAGATAGGGATTGGATGTGATATGATTTGTCGAGTCCATGTCGAGACGAAACTGTAGTTTGCGGCCCACTGAAGAGTCAACGTTAAAGGTGCTGTAGACAGTCAAGTTGGCGCCTTGGTACTCCATCTCATGGATCTGAACCATAATAACAACATGAGTCTTCCTCCTGCGATGAATATCACACTCACTCACTCAGGCATGTCATCTATTTATTGGTTAATAATAGTTATGTGAGTATTACAACTGTCATGTATTCAAATAGCCTCAGAATATAGCCGCTACCCCCTCCCCCCCTTTACCAGATGTTACAGTACTTGGCGTGAATTCGGGCAGCTTAAATTATAAGCGCAGCACATATGTGGATGAATTGTGCCTTTGATGATAAAAGCACGAAATTTGGCACATATTTAGGGTATGCCTAGTTAAAGAAGTTTAGCCAAAGGGCATCGTAGATTTAACCCGTGAAAGCAATGGCGCCCATAGTCTATTAGGTTAACTCCATTTGATGGCAAAAAAAAAATTCTTACTTCATTCCAGTTACTAACTCAGCCGGCACAGGATCCACCACACTGGCAAAGAGTTGTGTATGGGAGGGCTGGGTGTACCCTTCTTAGTCAGTCCGCATATATTACCTCTATAATTTGTGTGTTCGGTTAATTTGTTTTTATGCCTGTTTCCTTGGCGGTAATCAGATTTGGATCTGAAAAATTGGGCGACTGTTTAGAGATCCCTTCAGGTTCTCTCAACATGATAGCGCTGTAAGCTTAGCCTGTTTATATTGTTTGTAAATTATTTCAGCACGAGACGCTGATAAATGTGTCCGTACCTTGCCATGGATGTTTGTAAAAATATTGATTTGCTTTTTAGAGTAATCGTCCATGTTGTACATAAGTAGAGGAGTTCCTGTAAGAACATCATGGGGTAAACATTTGTCTGTGCCATAAGCAATACAGTAGGGGAATTGGCCTGTGGAACTATTGATCGACCCATTTATCGAAACTGCTACTTGAGGTAACCAGTCCTCCCATGCCATGTGCATGAGTTTCATAATATCTCAAGAATTTCAAGGATTTTATATTGGTTCTTTAAACCAGACCAGTCGCCTGTGGGTGATAAGTTGTGATGTAGCTTTGTTGGATGCTGTATTGCATGAAAATTTGTGTTAAAGTTTATTCTTAAACTCTGATACGCTGTCGGATAAAATAACCTTGGGTGTCGTGAATGGGTCATATCATATTTTCACTAGAGCGTGGGCTACTGCCTCGGCTGATTTTTCCTGCAAAAGAACTGAAATAACAGATCTGTAGAAGTACGTAAATATAACTTTGGTGTTTCTTCGAAAGTTGTAACAAGTCAATTGCTCTTGTGTAGAAATGACGTTACAGTGGAGCCCTTAGCTCAACACACGATGAACCTTTAGCAATGAGTTGTTCGATGTCTATATTCATGATATTCCAATTCTAAGGTTTTCTTATTTCCGCTAGGCATTTGTCACGTCTGGGATAGCCTGCATGAGGGACATTGTGGCACAGAGTAAGTACAGCCATTCGTAGTGTGTCAGGTACAGCAATTTGTGTGACAGTATCCTGTGCATTCGGTCTGCAGCGGTGGAGTATGTCTTGTCGTAGTTCAAACTGCCAGAACAGAAGAGGTAACTTAAGTAGATAAGCTTCCTCCCCCGACTCTAGAGCAAAAATGACTGTAGTCCACAAGGAATCAAGTCATTGTTCACCCCGTAATTGCGATAGCGTAAACAAAGATACAGACGTAACTGGTCTGGACAAAGCATCAGCGACAACGTTCGCTCGTCATAGAAAGTACTTGAACACGGGGGGCGAATTCTTGAATAGTTAAATACCAGAGTGCGAGTCTGCCTGAAAGGTTTTTCCAAAAGAACAACTCCGCCACAGCTACATGATCCGTATGGACGGTTATGGGATATTAAAAAAATAAATCCAAAGGAAACTTGCAAAAGACCCATAACTTTCGGTGGTGCTTATTGAAGTATCAGAAATACCATAGAGTAACTCAAATAGTTAGAAATGCCAATCAGCATCAGGCGACAGTAATAAAACCTGGAATGTCATAAGTTCTATTCAGAACAGGAACACTCAGCCTTCGGCCCCTCACTCAGCTTTTGTGATAAATGATTCAGTTGTAACGGAACCCTCCCCCATTGTCAACCACTTCAATTAATATTTTATTGATGTTGGCAAAAATCTTGTAGAGAGCATCCCAGATTACCAGGAGGAATTTTGAGCCTACCTCCAAAACAGACAGCAAAATGAGCTACTCTTATCTCCTGTCACAGCAGATGAATTATTTGCCATCATAAAAATGTCCAAACATGCAGCAGCAGGCGAAGACAATATACCAATGAGCACCATTAAGAAAATAGCCCATTTATTACTACCTGTCCGAATACACATTTGTAACTCCTCCTTCACTAGTGGTGTCTTTCCGGATAAACTGAAAACTGCTAAAGTTCACCCAGCAAAAAAAAAAAATCTGGGGACAAAGGTCTCTTCAAGAATTACCGCCTCTTATCAGTCCTCCCAGCCTTGAGTAGGATACTGGAAAAGCTAGCATGTAATACAGTAGACTAAATTCCTTCTGCAATGCCAATAACATCTTCACAGACTTCCAGTTTGGATTTAGAGCTAGAAGGACGGCTGAGAGTGCTCTGCTATCCTTTACTCATGACATTTTAAATTCTTTGATGACAGTCAGTTCACAGTCGGTGTATTCTTGGACCTCACTAAAGCCTTAGATACTGTCGACCATACCATCCTCCTTTCAAAGCTTGAACATTACGGCGTTAGGAACCTGCCCCACAATTGGTTTACCCCATATCTGTTCAACAGGATGCAGTATGTCTGCTATAATAATTACCAAGCAGACTCTTCACCAATCTTGTATGGCGTCCCCCAAGGTTCCATTCTCGGCCCGGTACTGTTCTTGTTGTACATAAACGACATATTCCACGCCAGCACACTCATAAAATGCAACTTATTTGCAGTCGATAGCAATCTTTATGCCAGCAACTCAGACCTCCATTCCTTGATGAGAACTATGAACACTGAATTAACTAAAGTCAGGACTTGGGTAATAGGTAATAAACTGACCTTAAACCCTGAGAAAACCCACTACACGATCTTTCACAGAAGGAAAAACTTACCCCCAGACCAGGACCCTCTGTACCTTGGTAATACAGTCCTCAAACGCGAACAAAATACTAAATTCCTCGGAGTTATTGTTGATGAGAAACTTAACTGGAGAAACCACATACAAGCCATTCACAGTAAAGTCAATAAACAGTGTGGTATCATATATCACACTCGACAGTCACTCACTCTCACAGCAATGAAAGAAATCTATCATGATCTTGTTTACCAACACCTGATACACTGTCACACACTATGGGGGAGCCTCCAGCTCTTCAAAAACATAATCTCTGGTTACTGCACAAAGGAGAGTTGTACGGACAATGACATACTTGAAAAAAAAAAGCAGATCACACAAACGAAAAATTTGCTATAGTGAAAAATTTCAAATCCGAAGATAGTAACACCTACTGCTGTGCCTTCTTTGTCTACAAATCTATCAATTACTTGCTTGACAATAATTATTTCCAGTTCCGGAATAATCAGAGATACAGCTTAAGGCACCCAGAGCTACAAAGACCACCCCCCATGCCCTCCTCTCAGTCCCAGACCTCCATAAAATATCACCGTGTGAAGGTGTGGAACAACTTACCCCCACCCATCCGAGCAAAGACTACGCTCCTTTCCTTTAAATCATCTCTTAAAAAATATCTTTTGTCTAAGTATTAATGTTTCTTGTAACACCTACTATATTTACAGTACCTGCTTTTATTGTACCATCAAAACTGCTTTATCGGAAATTATCATGTAAATAGATAAGTAATTATCATTGCAATAAACATATTTGCCAACTAGACATAATCCTGACAGCTCTGTCCTCTTGTTCAACCATAATACTGTACAACCCATGTTGTACTGCTCCCCCATTATACTTATGTTTTCAATTCCACTGTATATATATATATATATATATATATATATATATATATATATATATATATATATATATATATATATATATATATATATATATAATTAAGCTAACAAAATAAATAAAATTTAAAAACATTGAAGTGATAACCGAGGTAACATTATGAGATGTTCTTATTACCACCATGCAATTGTATTATTCCAGATGATACTAAATGTTACATAATACTTGCTTGAGATCAAAATATAGTATATATGAGGTGCCTAAAAGAGAGTTCAGGTTCTCAACTGGCTCAGCCATGTTCATATTGTTATTATTATCCACTCTGTATCTGTGTTTTTCTGGCTAAATAAACTGTTTCAGTTCAATTCAATTCAATTCAATTCAAACTTCTTGATTGACCAGACAACAGCTAATACTTCCAGGTGCATAACTGAATAGCTTGTTTCTGCGTCATTAAGTTTACGACTGGCGTGAGCAATCACTTTATGTTTCCCTTGTGTGTTCAGCTGCACGAGAACAGCCCCGAACCCTTGTCCTGAGGCGTCGGGACGGAGAGTAAATTTGTTGAGTGCAGTCAGGAAATGCCAAAATAGGTGTTGTCTTCAATCCAGTAAAACTATTCTCCTGTATATCATTCCAGACAATATTCGTGTCTTTCTTGAGGAACATAGTCAGCAGCAAAGCGAACGTAAAATACATTTTATAGCATAAATAAATGGCAATAACCTGATAAACCAAGAAAACTACGCACCTAATCAACGTTTGTAGGACGTGAAAATTGTGTAAGGCTTTGAATTTACCGTCAGCTGCATGAATTCCGTCTCCATCGACTACTTGACCAAGGAGTTAAGTTATAGATTTTAAAAATTCACATTTGGAAAGTGTGACTTTAAGTCCCGCTGTATAAAGCTTGTTGAAAACTTCCGCTTGTGTGTCGGGATGACTCTCTACGGTTTTGCTAACAATGATAAAATGATCAAGGTAGGCATAAACTGTGCTGCCTCAGGTTAAGGTAACTAAATCCTAATATACCACTGGTTAAGTTAACTAGCCCCTATTTTTACCTCTGGTTAAGATAACTAGTACCTAACTTTACCCTCTTGTTAAGGTAACTAGGACCTCGTTTTAGCCCTGGTTAACGTAACTGGGTTCTAATCTACCCCTGGTTAAGGTAACTAGACCCTACTTCTGCCCTTGTTAAGGTAAACTAGGACCTAGTTATAAGTCTGGTTAAGGAGTTTATTTTACCCCTGGTTAAAGTTACTAAACCCTACTTTTAGTCCTGGTTAAGGTAACTAGGACCTAGTTTTCTCCCTGGTTATAGTAACTAGACCTTACTTCTTCCCCTGGTTATGGTAACCAGCACCTCGTCTCTTCCCTGGATGAGGTGAATAGAACCTATGTTTACCCCTGGTTTATCCAGGCAACTACATGTTACTGTGGCCCAAACTGCGGTATCTATGCCGCACTTTACCTTGACACTGATGTTTGAGAGTGATTGTCCAGGCTGGTAGGTGAGGGCACCCAGAAACGCCTCATCCAACATGCCACCATCATCTTCGTCCAACACAGAGTAGGTCTTTCCTCCTGTATTCATTGCCAGACTTTCCAGGGCCATGTCTGCGTCTTTCCTTTAATAGAATTGAAATAGTTTATTATGCCAGAAAGTTAAATAAAAAAATTATTATTATTTATTCTTTAATAAACTTGGATGAGCCTTTTGAGAGTTGTTGCTATCTTTAGAAGGGTTTCTGATAAATTACATTTAAATTAAGATATCTAAATAGAATGGAGTAGAAATCTGAGTCATATCGAGTGCATAATTTACAGTCAATAATTTATAACACTACTACACATCCATATACATGTATAATAATATAATTTAGATGTACACAATTGTCTTACCTGTAGGAGAGATGCAAAAAGAAAACTATATTTTCAAATGAGTTGAAGAAAACTAATAATTGTGTCAATGGCTGTCTTAATAAAGAACTGAGCGAATGACTGTCTTTTTAATTAAATAAGTGACTGACTGTCTTATTAAGTAACTGGGTGAGTGAATGAGAAACTGACTAAAATAACTCCCTGATCCTTAAATTCATACTGTAGTACCCGAAACTATGTCAAGCGTTCGACTCCTGAGGCCTATGAAACACTTGGTACTACTCTCGCGCCTCCACCATCTGATGCTGCTGAATGTTGCCACATCTTAGTTAAACAATTCCCTGTGTTTGCTTTTATCTAAGATGTTCGTAAATATAATCTGCGTATACTCAATATACGTTGACTCTACCGGGGAAGTTCCCCACAAGCCGCTGTCGTTGTTAAATGAAAGGGCGGGGAGCCTAATCACTATTGAGGCCCACTCCTCGCCACATTTTATGCAGAGCCCTATTATCCCGGGCTTGTTTTTTGTGTTGTCAGTTGCCATTGGGGATATACCATCGCCGACTGCTGCAGATGTGATCGTCCTAGATTTTTGTGTGTGTTTTTACGGGGCCTTGGGGGCGGAAAAATATGAGTAAAAAGAAATTAAGCTAGAAAAAAAAGGTTGTATTAATCTACACCACAAAGATGACGGAAAACCAGCTTTTTAAAGTGAGACAGATTGTATAAGTAATGTATGGAAACACAGAAGAAGGCAGAGCATTCCACAGCTTGTCTGTGCGAGGAAAGAAGGATGTAATATAACGGGTTATTCTAGTGTCACCGACATCCACAGAGAAACGGTGGGCACCGCGGGCAAGCCGTGTGTTACGATCCCACGGCCTTGCCGGCGGTACACAGGATGCCAAATCCACCGAACACTGCCAGTGAAAGTACTGTAAGAGAGAGTGAAGCAAAATTGCGACGAAAAGAAAGGGAAGAGAGATTATCAATTAAAAGAGGAGAGTCAATAAGACGAAATGCCTCTCATTCCACCCTATCTAACAGTTGGACAGAAGAAGAGCCACCCCAGATATGAGAACAGTACTCCAAGTTAGGACGAATGAGTCCCTTATAAACTTGATGCAACTGCTCAGGAGTGAAATAGCTACGGCATCTGTACAGCATTCCCAGATTTTGGGAGGCAGCTTTAGCAATGCTGAGGATGTGTGGCTTCCATGACATATTCGAAGAAATGGTTAGGTCTAGCATATCCATTTTGAATTTGGCAGAATGATTGCGTCCTGAAATGTGATTGGTGGGAGATCACCTAATTTGAAAAGTGTAATTGGCAAATACTGAGTTTTATTACGATTGAATTTAATCAAGTTTCTACCTCACCATTCGGAGATGCTGAACAGATCCACATTGATAAATTAAATGATATCAGCTCTAGAAATATATCTAGTTTGTGAATTAGGAGGTAGGGAAAAATGTGAAGAAGAGGGAAGAGTAGAATCATGAGTGTACGAATGGATAGAATTAGTCGTACTGTGAAGTTGTTTCTATACACTTAAAGAACAATTGCTCTATCTCTTAGACCAGAAACTGCTGTACATAAAAAAAGCTGCTGCATTTAAGGAAGACAGTGTATTTGAGGAAGAGAGTGTATTTGAGGAAGACAGTGTATTTGAGGAAGACAGTGTATTTGAGGAAGAAAGTGTATTTGAGGAAGACAGTGTATTTGAGGAAGACAGTGTATTTGAGGAAGACAGTGTATTTGAGGAAGACAGTGTATTTGAGGAAGACAGTGTATTTGAGGAAGACAGTGTATTTGAGGAAGAGAGTGTATTTGAGGAAGACAGTGTATTTGAGGAAGACAGTGTATTTGAGGAAGACAGTGTATTTGAGGAAGACAGTGTATTTGAGGAAGACAGTGTATTTGAGGAAGACAGTGTATTTGAGGAAGATAGTGTATTTGAGGAAGAAAGTGTATTTGAGGAAGAAAGTGTATTTGAGGAAGACAGTGTATTTGAGGAAGACAGTGTATTTGAGGAAGATAGTGTATTTGAGGAAGACAGTGTATTTGAGGAAGACAGTGTATTTGAGGAAGACAGTGTATTTGAGGAAGAAAGTGTATTTGAGGAAGACAGTGTATTTGAGGAAGACAGTGTATTTGAGGAAGACAGTGTATTTGAGGACGAAAGTGTGTTTGAGGAAGACAGTGTATTTGAGGAAGACAGTGTATTTGTGGAAGAAGGTGTATTTGAGGAAGAAAGTGTATTTGAGGAAGACAGTGTATTTGAGGAAGATAGTGTATTTGAGGAAGACAGTGTATTTGAGGAAGACAGTGTATTTGAGGAAGATAGTGTATTTGAGGAAGACAGTGTATTTGTGAAGACAGTGTATTTGAGGAAGACAGTGTATTTGAGGAAGACA